CACATGACCCGTGCAAGGCAGTGTGTTTTTGTTAATTTAAGAGTATTTAAGAACCATGACAATAAACCTGAATGATTGATTGCTTTTCCCTATATCTTTTTATTTCTATACATTCATTTTAATCGGTGGGATGAGCCTCAGACAACGAAGATATGTTGCGATATGTCAAGAGGTTACACTTTTTAAACAGATCATGGGGTATGTATTTGACCGCATGTAAATGATATTTATGTCGACATGCACTGGCACTCCACCGTTCCGTTTGCCTCAAATTCCAAAGTGTCCGAGGATTGTCGGCTTAGAATCGCTAAAAGCATTTCATAACTAAGTTTATGGTTAAATCATCCTATTGGCATCGCTATCCATACGCTAACTTTTATCAGCGATTTTCAGCTTTGGGATGGACGCTAATATCAGGTTCAGGTTCTATTTTTCATTGAATTGAGGCTCGTTGTGTCTTTAAATAATTAGCGTGACATGGTGCAAAGCATAGGTCTCGTAGAAATTGTTACTTTTTTACGGTGTTCAAGACACCGTTAGGAGTATTATATCTGCATTAATAATGTTGTGTCGAGTCTTACCTTAGTTTTGTCTTACCCCTTTGTGTATGACTTTAAAGCTCCTTTTGTCCATGTCATGTTGTTGGGATGCACCCCTCCTTGATAAAAAACCTGAAGGATTACTGAAGGAATATTTCCCTGTCTGCTTATGTGTCCGTCTGTATGTGCATCTGATGGTTGTTGTTTATAACATCGGAAAATTAGTCGACCCCTATCTCACATCTATATGTTGGGAGGAAGGCAATGAATACATACATAAGACTCGAAAAAGTGTAGAGCGAATACTTTTATAACATATGTTTTTTCCTCACATTCGAGTAAAGTTGTGGGATTTTTTTTGGTTATCTATTGTGAATGGTGCATAAATATAAAAAGACTAAAAGCATGTCAATTCATATTAAAATCTATTCCTTCAGATACGGTTGTTGTATAAACGACGTTGTGATTAGATACAATAGCAACATCATTAAAGCACAACCAGGTCCTGTACCAATTTTTAGACATAAATAGGAAAGATATTTTTAAAAAAATGACTCGCCAAGCCGATGCGCAGAAGTCGATGAATAAGCTGTCTGGGAACGGACAGGTAGAGAAGGTTGTTGAGCTTCGTTCTTACGATGCCGAGGCGGTACAAATTCGAATGGCCAAGCTGCGTGCTGAAGTCGCGCAGAAAAAAGCCGCTGAACTGAAGAAAGCTGAGGAACTTGCCGGTGTCCACGTTAATAACGCGGATGTAAAGCTTTTCGCGACCGAGATGTGTCTCGACGAAGACGTCGCGCGCTCTAAGCTGCAAGAGAAAGGAGGAGATTTTGTGGCCGCGCTACGTGAAGCGGTGAATCTCCACAAGGTGAGATTTTAGAAAATATTGAATGCACAAAGACGGATCGATATACCCCTTATCACCCCACGAACGGTAAACATTCATATTGATTCTTGTTGTCATTGTTGCATGTCTCCTTTTCCCAACCTTACAGAGGGGCCTATATTGACGCCTCTATTGTTCTATCAATACTTCTAATTTCACATAAGCTCATACCATAACATGGGGTTTGATATCGAAGCCCACACATATTAAAATATAATCGAAATCTTGTTTAAAACATCTTGGATTTGATAATATAAATATTTAAGTACGAGCTCTTTGAGTATATTGTCGCAGTCAGATGAATAATTCTCCTAACCCTTTCTCAACCCCTCACTTCAGGGTACTTCTGTTCTGTTTAGACAAATATATTGAATCCATGTTTTATGTAAATGGAAAATCGCAACATATATTAGACATTACTATTAAGGTTAACGCCGAACTTTCTCTGGAAAATGGGTGTTATCGTTATTCTCCTCAACTCTAGAATATTTTTAGCAATACTATTTCAAAGTGGAAGAGATATTTTTGCAACCACCTTGGTAAGTTTTGATCACAATAGAAAGAAAAAAATATATCCAAGATCTGAGCCCAATGCAACAAATGTAATAGCCAGTGCCCAGATGCGTCCTAGGAAGCACTTTGTTACTGTCGCTGAAACCGAGTTAACTTATATCCAGCGTATTGGTTCCCTTATTGAACCCAAACCTGGCAAGCATTAAGTAAGCAAAGTGCTCTCCACTGCATCTAACTTCATTAAATGGAAATTATAATTTATTGTCCTTGCACAACAGCTAATTTCTATCAAAAGGTCTGGATTGGAATCGCTAACAAAGAAAACATCTTCCTGCAATATATCAAATTCTAAAGGCCGAGAAACTGCCTCTGATTCATAGCCAAAGCCGCTGTAAAAAATAATCGTTCGTTTAAATCGAACCCACGACCAGTGCAGCTGCCACAAGGCCCATTACAACAATGCAACCACATCTCGTATAAGGCTGAAATTTTTCATCACGAGCCTTGAACCCACAAAAGTCTCGGCCTCAGCCGCACTCCCGTTACATCTTGCATTGTGACAACCTGAAATCCTCATTATTATATCGCCTGCCATTTATTTTCAACGATATTTTCTAGGATGGCAAATTTTAGTTACAGAATATTTAATCAATATTATATTATATTTGGGTGTCCCGAAATTAATTTAGATTGAATTAAAGTATATTTCTTTCTGCGGAGATATATTTTATTAACTAAAACTAATTTTATTTTGTAAAAATATTTTGGCGTAATTAATATTAAAAAAAAGGTTGTGATAATTATTTTCAGTAATAAAAAATATTTTCAGTTAATAATTATTATTCTAAACCAAAGAAAATATTAGAAAAATAAATATATCGATAACTATTCCTTATAACATGGAATTCCTCGCGAAATAATATAACTTTAATTGAATGAAATGAAATACTATAATGGGAATTTCGGTTTTACTAATCGAATTATGAAACACATTTTGGTATACAATGTAACTTTTTTTTTGGGGGGGGGGGTTGTATCGGCAATTCAAAATTGTCAATAATGTGTGATTTAGCACAAAAATGATTGGAATCGGTACCATAATAAGGATTATATGTGTCACTATAAAAAATTTTAAGTTTTGTACCAAATCACCAATTATCACCAATTTCCTATGACCGACAAAAGACGAAGAAAATCAACCTATCAATCCCCAACCGTTCCATATTTGAATTTAAAAATAACAGCGATCCGTTAAAAACTGTGAGCTTTAGGTTTTGCACAGCTCAAGATTTAACAGGTCAGGGGTTCATAAAGTAACTTTTAATGTCTTTTTGTCAGAGATTGGAAATTGAAAATAATAGGTGACTTGACACAAAAATCTTACATTTCTAACTGTGACAGACCGAAATCCCTATTGTTAGACCAGTTTCCCCCCATGCTGTAAAAAATAACAGCTGCAGACAATTTAAAAATATCCACATTACACCGACATAACCCACCTTACCGACCCCCATCTTTTAAATCACCAAACGAAAACAACCATTTTCATGCCGGTTTACACCCATTCTTTAAAAAATTCCTGTTACGTCTTTGGCTGCGAAATAAAGTTAAACATGTTACAGAACAGAGGGAAACTGGTGTGACAATGGGGATTTGAGTTTGACGCGGCGCAATATGTAACGCGTTGGGGGTTGGTAGGCCAATTTTAAAAGGTCTTTTCTCAGTTGTGGAAAATTGGTAATAATATTTGATTTGGTAAACAAATATTGCATTAAAATTTGAAAAACTTAACTCCCCCCCCTCTGTAACAAAAAATATGTTTCGGTCCATTTCAAACACAAGCATGACACAAAATTAATCCAACTTACCGACCCACAACCTGTTACAAAATATGGGGGTTTATATATTATATATTGATTTTTTTAATAAAAATATATTTTGTTATCTAAAAATATTGTTTACCTTGGAATTATATTTTAAAAATATTTACGGGTTGTGAAAAATGTTTTCAGTTAGTTAAATTTAATTCCGAAGAAATAAAAAACTTTGATTCAACAAAATAAACTTGGGACACCTAAATAAAATATTGGCCAAATACAGTGTAACTAAAATTTGCCATCTCATGAAATATTGCCGAAAACAAGTTGTAAGTGATATGAAAATGGGAATTCAAGTTTGACATGGTTTGAAATATAAAGGATTGTTTTTTGGGGTGATAAATTTTTTGGGTCTTATGTCGGCGCATTAAAATCGACTGTGATGTAAAAATTGATTTGGAATGTATGGAAATCGGTGTGGCAATGGGTGGTTCTGTTTTACAATCCGCAAGATCCAACAGGTGGGGGTCTGTAAGTTTTATTATGTGTGTATCATGTGTGTGTTTTGGAATGCATTGTAACGGGTGTTTTGTTACAGAAAAATGGGGGTTCGGTGTGTAAAATTGAAAATTTAACATTTATATG